GGCGTCCAGGGTTACCAAATAAGACTTTATATCAATCCCTTTCTTGGACAGTTCTGGAACTTTGAAGTAATATATTCTTTTTTTAATAAATTTATTTTTTAATTGAAGGATAATTGCTTTACAATATTGTGTCAGTTTCTACCAAACATCAACATCAATCAGCCATAGGTATATCTATGCCCTCTCTGTCTTGAACCTCCTTCCCACCTTCCACTCCATCCCACCCCTCTAGGTTGTTACAGAGCCCGGGTTTGAGTTCCCTGAATCACACAGCAAATTCCCATTGGCTATCCATTTTACATATGCTAATGTGTATGTTGCCATGTTCCTCGACATATTCTTTGTTTGTTAGCTATTCTCCATTTATACCAATTATAATGTCCTTCCATTTATAATGTCCATCCATTTAGCCACATTTGCTGGCCCACTCTGGCCCAGCAGACCACATCATCCAGGCTCTCTTGGTGGTTAGAGACCATGGGGAGGCACTGACAACAGTCAGTCAAAGGTGGGAGGAGAGAGGCCAGAGGGTACCTTCCTTCCGTCTCTGAAGACAATGGCCCCTCCAGCCCCCTGCTTCCACCAAGCCCCTCCTCCAGGGCTCCAGCTCTCATGGATACAGATTTGTGGGTTTCTTCCTCCAGCTCCAGCCCTTTAGTCCTGGGAGCTGAGAGTTTCCCACTGTGGCTAATTTCTTGGTACCTCCACATATCCTGTTTGTTCACCTAGCCCTGCCCCTTCTTCCGAACACAGTCCTTTCTTTAAAGTTACCTCTGGAACCATCTCAGGTGAACTGTTTTCTGCCAGGACCCTGACTGATACATTGAATTACTCAGCTTCCACTTGCTCTTCCTACTTCTCATCCAGTAGTCTTTAACATACTTTAAAATTTCATAGAGAATCTGATGTAAGATATGAGCTCTCTCCCCCCAAAAAAATTCACTTACACACATGTGCTCAAAATTTTGTGTGCAGTTTTAAAGTGTTCCCAGACTCCTTAAAGACTTTCTACAAATCTTCTAGGTAGTCTGTAGAAACTCCAGTCGATTCTCTCACCTCTGGTAAGTGAATCTTCCCAGAAAACCTATTTCTTCCATTTGACCATGTTCTCACCAAAAATCTCTAGTGGTGTCCTACCAAGCACCATAAAGCAAGAAGACCAAGTCCTCAACAAAGTGTCCCAGGATCAATCTGACAAGTTAGCTGCATGCTTGAGCCATTTCTTACCAGCTCACAAGAAACTATTAAATTTTCAAAGCCAGTTGTTAAACAGAGCACTATTCCCAATTAGATTATATAAGCTTACAACTAAATGTCTTTATTAAAAATAAAGTTAATATGGACTTCCCTGATGGTCTAGTGGTTGAGACTCTACCTGCCAATGCAGGGACCATGGGTTTGGTCCCTGGCCCAGGAAGATTCCACGTTCAATGGGGCCAGTAAGCCTGTGCACCACAAGTATTGAGCCCACATACCTAGAGCCCATGCTCTGCAATAGGAGAAGCCATTGCAATGAGGAGGAGTAGCCCCCACTCTCAACTAGAGAAAGCCTTCGAGCAGCAACAAAGACCCAGCACAGCCAAATATAAATAATAAAGGCAATAAAGATAAGTACTCAAAATGTGTTGCTTTCTAATTATCTCATTACTATCTGTGCTCTTGAGGTTGTCTATCCTGCCTGAATGGTGGAAACACTACATGGTGATGTACTGTTGTGCAAATCTTCCCAACTCCATGATGGCTTATAGATTATTTACATCATAGAAATTAGCAAACACTCTGAGTCAGAATCTAAACAATCTGTGTTGATTGTCTAGATCAGGGCTTGGCAAACTATAGCACACAGGCCAAATCTGGTCTACAGCCTGCTTTTGTATGATCCACATGTTTTTACATTCTTAAAGGATTGCTTTTTAAAAAAATAATAATTAATTTTAAAAAAAGGAGAAGGAAGAGACTGTTTGTGGTCCACAAAGCGTAAAATATTTACTCTCTGGCTCTTGCCTGGAAACTTTTTCCAAACCCTGGTCGAGACCTTAGAAAGTGATGGATAAGATGTTAATAATGCAAATTAAACTTAAAAGTGTATCCTGCCTGTAATCATTACACTGTGAATGGCACAGAAAATTAAGGAAATATTCTTCCAGTATTTGAAAGCTATGACCCCATCAGCCAAGAAGTCTTTTCTCATCACTGATGAACAAGTGAAGTTTCTGCATACATCTTCATTGTTTCACGTTCATCCTATCTGTCAATGAAAGTGAAAAACCAACTAGCATTCATGTTGGGACTATCCTCATGAGCCAATGGCAACCAAGCATTCATCTGCAATCTGATTTTGTAAAATCACAACTGAATCATGGCCATAGGTTAACTGCAGACACAAGAGTTCAGCAAAAAACAATAGCAACAAACAGGAAAGCATTATCAGAGAATCAATGGGCCAAAGAGTATTTTGTAATAAGACTATTGTATATTTTATTATCATTTGTATACACCCTTTACATCAGTATAATTTATAATAAATTTATGTACATATAAACATGAGGGTCTTTTTTTTTTCCTAAAAAGCCAGTTATTAAACTTTTACCAGCACTCTATTGACTCCACCCCCAGAGTCTAACTGGTCTGGATGATGGCCTTGGCACTGGGATTTTAAAAACTACTCCCAAGTTATTCCAATGCATAGCCAATACTGAGAATAAGTGGCTTAGGGGAGAGATCAAAGTGCAGGAAGCAAAATCCCCTTAAGATTTTGTTCTCTTTAATCAGAAAGACCACTTGAATCTGAACAAGGAGGGGCTGGGAGCGAGCACGAGGAGGGTATTCTGGGGCGGGGAGGGTGGGAGGGTCCTCCAGGAACTAGACACACATCACTGGGCTGACTTTTTTCCAATTTCTCAGAAGAGAATTTTCCTGGAGCAGTGTTCTCACAGTCTCCTAGACACGCCACTATCACTTCCTCTCCCAAAGTTATTCTCACTATAAATCTACCAAAGGTCCCCTTTCCTCTCCTGCTTCCACCTGAACCTTGCTGTCCCTCCTGTGCCAGCTGAGATGCCCTCTCTCCTCCCAGAACCTCCCAAGGGGTGACAGGCTGGTTCATCTCCCTCTAGTCCCCACTTGCTAACAAAACCCTTATTTATTAGGGACAGTGTTGTGCCCACTTCAATACTGTTTCCAGGCCTCCCTTGTAACCAAAGTGGCTGATGTGACAGTTTAGCTGATGAGACCTCAGCTGAAGCCTGCCAAGGATTGAGGGCAGAGCCTGGGGTTTCTGGATAGAACTGTCAGAATCAGACCCCACCCCTGGGCTTCTCCAGCAGGCGTCTCCAGAGCATGAGGCCATCATCCATCTCCAAAGGATAGGATGGGGGAGGACGAAAACAACCGAGCCGCAACACCAGTCCCCAGCTGCTGGCCTTTGGAGGTCTTGTTCTGTGAGGAAAACAATTCCCTCACTGTTCAAGCCATTCCTGGTTGGATATTCTGTGGCTGCAACCAGACGAAACGCCAGTCCAGCCATCCTGCAGTGACTGCCCTGCCTGTAACTCTGTACAACTACAGATTTGTTCTGCTCCACCTAGAACAGCCATCTCCAATGTGTAAATGGGTTAAGTCCCAGATGTTTTTCTATTGGAATATAGTTGCTTTACAATGTTGTGTTAGTTTCTGCAGTATAATGAAGTCAATCAGTCAAATGCATACCTATATCCCCGCCCTTGTGGCCCTCCCTCCCACCCCAAAGTCCTCACAGAGCACCAAGCTGAACTTCCTGCACTTCACAGCAGCTTTCCACTAACTATTTTGTACAAGGAATGTCAATGCTATTCTCTCAATTCGTCCCACCTTCCCCTTCCCTTCTCTCCCACCTCGTGTTTAAACCAGTTGTTTGAAATTTGGGTGCACTGTCCCTATAAGACTGGACTATTCTAGACAATCCAGAACAAAGGTTTGTAGTAGTATGTCAACTCCTGGCATCATCAAAGTGATGAGAAACAAGATTCAGGCAGAGTTAGGCTAGTATAGCTTCATAAAGAAGTTAGATCTCCTGCAGAGATTTGTAAACAGGAAGGAAATCGAGAGGAATGATTCTGAAAGATTTGACCTTTGCCCAGAACTTATTTTTGAGGCAGGAGGACCGCACGTAGGTGCAGCATGAACTCGGCGGGTGTGTGTGCTTGGATCAGAACATAAAGGGCATAGACCACGGAAAGGCCACATCTTGGATGCACAAGAGAAAAGAAGCGATGACAGCTGCACCCCAAGCTTAACAGACCACATTAGCGATAGCTATTACATACACGGTTGCATTCTATTTTTGTATCATATTAACGGATATAATATTGGTAATTGTTCTTAATAGAATCACAAAAATGAGAGATGGAAATGCTGTATGGTATGATGGAATGCTGTTCTTTTACCATTGATCATTATAATAAGCCTGCTCAGTCATTACTTACAAACCATGCTACATCTCTGCCAATGAGGCAGACCAAAATGAGGCGATAAACAAAATTGGTTTCCTTGCTAAATGCGACGCCTAAGTTTTAAGATATTTTGCTGAAGTTTTAAACTGATTGTCAATTAGTCAATGAGCTATGGCAGGCAGTGTATTTCTGGGTAATTAGTGTGTGTCTTAGGGGGGTTATTTGGCATGAGGCTGAGGGCAAAGTAATTTGTATCTCCCAGGAAGTGCAATAATTGCCTCAAGCTGAACCGCTTGGAAAGTGTATTAATTCTATTAGGAAACATTTATGTTATTTTATATGGCATCCTGTATTTTCGTGAAGTGTACTCATCAACCATGAATTATTCATTTTGGGGGCATTATCACATGAAGGTGTCCTCCTTGACAACCAGGAAAAGGAGTGGGGTTGTTTGTGCAGTTGGGCAACTCATGCTTTGTTGGCAATGGGTGTTGGGTTTTGAAATTCATCAGTGCTTCCCTGGTGGCGCCTCGTTAGAAGGCCCCTGGATCCTAGGAGATTGAGCGGTACCTTACGACAGGTAAAGAAGTCGAAGGTGGTAAGGCCATCTAAACTGGCCGGCAGGACACCGGCAGGCCTTCTGTTTAGTGCTGGCTCTGTGGGCTGTGGGGGAAGCCTGAGCACTGACAGCTACAGGGCTGACAGCCTTCATCCTGGTACTTTTGGACACTCCCTTTCCAGAACCTGCTCAGGATATTCAGGGCTCAACAAAGGCAATTATTTATTCAACAAATATTTATGAATGAATGCTCAGACAATGTACTAGTCATCTACTGTTGTGTAATAAATTACCCCCAAACTTAGCAGCCTAAAGCCACACACATTTATTAGCTCACAGTATCAATGGGTCCAAAGTCATGTTCGGCTTAGCTGGGTCCCCTGCCCTGCAATCTCCGACGAGCCTGCAGTCAAAAGTGTCAGCCCAGAGTCTGTAGTCTCCCCTAAAGGCTCACCTGGGGAAGAATCTGCTTCTGAGTCACTTCCAAGCCCTCACTTTCTCAAGCGCTGTGGATGGAAGGTCAGAGTTCTCCAGTGGATACTGACCAGAGGCCTCCCCCCCAGCTCCTTTCACTGTAGGTCTCTCCAACAGAGAAACCGGCTTCATCAAAGTGTGCCAGCCCAGAAGGCCAGGCAAAGGTCGCAGCCTCTTGTAGCTTCATTGCAGGACTGTCATCTCTTTACCTTGTTGATTCAAATCAAATCACCAGGTCAGGAAGATGGCAGAGGGACAGAGAAAAGTATGGGCAGGTAAGACCTGTTTCAGAGTTTAGAACTGATGTCTTCAGTAGGAGTATGCATACCGCAAGTTACCAGTTTTCTTCACCCCAGCTCCTCTTTGTCCCTTCTTAAGGGAAATGCAAAACAAGTTGAAGAAAGAATCTTGTAACCATCATGGAGAAACAAAGAGGAGGACAGGATAACCCAGCAGAGGGTGAACAGACAGGGGCCACGTGAGATGGGGTGAGAGGAGATACAGAGAGGACAACCCAGGCCCTGCACCACCAGCTATATTAACCTGGCATGCAGCTTCACCTTCCTATGCTCCTGTTTCCTCTTATGTAGAAATATCTGCCTTTCGGGATTATTTGAGAGGATTAAACAACAGCCTGGTACTTTCCTGATACATCTTGCACATGGCTCGTTTCCTCACTTCACCCTCGCAGGTCAGAGCTCAAAAGCCCCACCCCCTCTCCATCTTTCTGAAGTTATTAGTTTGCCTCGCAGCCTCACTTACCGATGCCTGTTTTCTTCTGTTCACCCAGCATTCTCGGGGCTCCGGGGAGTTCTTGACATGCAGGGGATCCTCAGTAAGACTTGTGAAGGGCTGCAGAATGTCATCACTGGCCAAGGGCGTCGCTGCACAGGCTGTGTCCCATGTTTTCAAACGCATCACAAACAGTGTGAGGAAATCGGCCTAGGACATAAAGAGAGTCACAGCGGCTAAAATCCCTGCACAGTACATTACGGTGTACACAGGCCTTGCTTGACCATGTGTCAGTCTCGCTGGTAGCTGTCCCCATTTATAGGTGAGGCAATGGAAGGTGAAGGGACTTAATAAACTCCTCTGAAGTAGGGCTGTGCCTTTACTTGCAAACAGGGCAAAAGTTTAAGAGTTCCTTCCAGTCCCCAGGAGATGTACTGATCTGAGCCTGCTACAATCCTGCCCAACCTCTCTGAAGCCACTGTCCCTCTGTCTTCCCATCTCCCTTTCCTGCCCTTGGAGGCAGGGGACAGACAGACGCTGTGTGTGCTGTCTACCCAAACTACACCCTGTGGAACTGCAGAAAGTCAAGCAGCCAGTTATACGGCTGCCAGTAAACTTCTCCACGTTCCAGAATTCCTTCTTTCTTTCGGAAAGAACTCACTTGTGCCTCACTGTACTTAATCCTACCAATAAAAGTCAAATCCCTTCACTGTGACTCACATGCACTCATCAAGCAAGCACTGAGGGTCTGCGTAGTGCCAAATATCATGCTAGGAAATGGGACTGATCACATCCAGGAGGAAAAGCAGACTGTAAGTACAAATCACTCTGTAGCTAGTGATATGGTTGGAACTATGTATGAAGGAGAAGTTCAAGGTGATGGGAAAACATGAAAGGAAAGACCACCTGGGACCTGGTCTTTGGGGGGGTCATTTAAATGAAGAAAGGTCATTTAAACTGGAGAAGAAAGCAGAATGTTCTAGAGAAGAGTATTTAAGAGGTTCCATGTGGCACTAGTGGTAAAGAACTCTGCCAATGCAGGAGACATTAAGAGACATGGGTTCAGTCCCTGGGTCGGGAAGATTCCCTGGAGGAGTAAATGGCAACTCACTCCAGTATTCTTTCCTGGGAAATCCCATGGACAGAGGAGCCTGGAGGGCTATGGACCATGGGGTCACAAAGAGTCAGACATGACTTAGCGACTAAACAACAACGTTTTACATACAAACACAAAATATTTTTTGTACAGTATTAATATACAATGAATTACCCAATAATAAAACTGAAGCTAGAAATTAGGGGGGAGATTTATTTTGTTTTTCCCAAAACCTCCCAGGGTTAGTTACCATTTTCAAAAAACATATCATGCATTTGAATCACCAATAGGACACACCCATATAAATTGATCTTTGACACTGTCACGTCCTTGATGATTATATATACAGTTTTCCCCCATACTATCTAAAAGTAGAATGTTCTTATGAAGCCTTTCCTAAGCCAAAAAGGCGTAAAACCAAGAAGCAATTACCTAAGGACTCATCTTGCTAACAGATGCACAAATAAATGGAGATAAACCACAGATGCTCACAGACACAGTTCAAAGCTACGGTGGCTTCATGCTGAGACACCTAGTGTAGTTCCTGGGGAAAGACCTTGGTCGTAACCACGCCTACTGAGGTGTGCACTGCCTCTATACCAAACACGAACATTTTTGCTGTTATAAAAGTGAAAATCCTCTTTGGATTTACCAAAGAGAACAGAATTTCCAGAAGCAGAGGATCCTTTTTTGTTGTTATTCAGTCGCTAAGTTGTGTCTGCCTCTGTGACCCCAGGGACAGCAGCACACCAGGATTCCCTGTTGTCTAACATCTCCTGGAGTTCGCTCAAATTCATGTCCATTGAGTCGGTGACGCAATCTAACCATCTCACCCTCTGCTGTCCTCTTCTCCATTAATCTTCAATCTTTCGCAGCACCAGGGTCTTTTCCAATGAGTCGGCTCTTTGCATCAGGTGGCCAAAGTAGTATAGCTTCAGCTTCAGCATCAGTCCTTCTAATGAATATTCAGGGTTGATTTCCTTTAGGATTGACTGGTTTGATTTCCTTGCTGTCCAAGGGAATTTCAAGAGTCTTCTCCAGCACCACAGTTCAAAAGCATCATGTATGTCTTATTTCAAAACACCACTCTAAAGTGAAATGTCTTTAATATCCAGTTAAATGTTTTAGTTCTCTTAAATCCGAATATATTTGTTATGCTATGGAAAAACCCAAATAAACTTTTTGGCCAATCCTTCCTTATGAACCCTAGTTTCTACCCAAAAGGTAGAAATAGACCATCAGCAGCTGCATCCTTGTTAAAAGCGAGGCTCTCAGGCCCCACCCTGGAGCTGCTGACTTGTGGTCTGTATTTTAATAAGACCTCCAGGTGATTCAGAGGCACATAAAAGTGTGAGAAGCTCTCTTCTAGGTTAGGTAGATCTGAGCATGGAAAAAGTATTGTTATTATAAAAGACTTTCTTTTTATTTCTCTTCTTCATCACATTAGGACATTGCAATTATCTCTTAATTATAGTAAAAGGTGGGTTATGTTATCAATGAATTTCACCTCAAGAAAGTAAAATGGGAGTTATAAAATACATTTTAATGAAACAGGCTGTTGTGTCCAATAGGGTTGAGAATGCTGCTCCAAGATCCCTGGGATTCAGTAATTGGGTGTGACGAACTTGGGAGCATGTAAATGAGAGTAGGTCATCAGGGTCAAGTTTCTCTGTACTTGGCCATTTATAAACTCTAATGACTCCTAAATCTATATCTCTAACCAGTGTCTCACCCTCAGAGCACACTCAACAAATCCCTGCTTTCTAAATATACATTCGCCAGATCACAGAGTAAGTGCCCTGCTGTCTTCTACAGGGTCAAACCGCTCTCACTTACTTATTCTACAAATGTTTTTTCATCCGCTTCTATGTGCCACGCAATGTCACAGGGCTGTGAGTAACAGAAAGACAAAGCCCGCTTTTGTGGAACCAATAATAAGTCTAAGAAGCCCGAAAATAACTGCACGAAGAGTCAGAATGTGGTAAGTGCACTGTGAGAGGTATAGATAATGTGACAGAGATGACTCCTGCAGAGACATAATATTGAAAGGTCACCAAAAGTCACCTTGGACCTCTACACTGCCTAGAAGCCCGTGGTTTCACTCGGGAACTCTGGTTCCCCGACACAGTTATTTAAACCTTCTTTATTCTCCTTACATCTGGGCTGCTACACCTGCCCTGCATCAGTCGATCTTGCTTCCTTCTTCTCAAAGTAAAATAAATCATCAAACAGAACCCCTCCTAATTCCCGTCTTTTTCTCCTGGCACCCTTCCTGGTCCAGGCCCCTCTGTGCCTCCAGTTACCATGGCAGCACTGTCCCTGCTCCTGGAGAGGCCTACCCCGCAACCCGTCCCTACTTTCCACCACCTTCTCAGACATCTTTCTATGACACAGACCACTCTCTTCCTCCCCTGTAATTTCCCCTCTACTGGAGCCTTCTTATCGACCTTCAGACACCCTTCAGGATCTCGGCCACCAAGCTACTGGCCTCTCCTCTCCTTCACAAACAAACTTCTTTAAAAACAAAATGTCTGCCCTACCTCCACCTCCTTAGCTGCTACTTATTCTTCAACCCACTGCAACCAGCTCTGACCTCACCACCCACAGGAGCTCTTACCTGTATGATCACTACCTACCTGCTTGTTACCAACATCAACATGCTCTTCTCTGTCCTCTGTCCTTCAAACTTCCAGCAGTATTTGACACCACCAACTGGCCCCTTGAAACAGCCTCCTCTCCTTGGTTTC